GGTAATGTAGTGGAAGTTGTTTCCATCGACTGGTTTCCTTCAAAATTTGTGAGACACTGAACTATACCAGTTGCTTTACGTAGCCGTTATAAAATGATGGCCGACCCAGCAGTGTCCTCGTTAGGCGAGTTAAAAGCCTGACGCCTTTTCACCACCGTGCAGACTTTGGTAGGACAGTCTTTCGGATATGGAAAATAGCACTTAAAGTCTGCTTAGTATCCAGCGTGATGATGTTCTATTGAGCAAATGAATAGTATTGCGCTGTAGATGTCACAGCCATCAACTGACGTGCCATGCCGTCATCTCTGCAACATTTAAATAGCCACTGTTGTATGATTCACACAGTCTTTGCGATCGGCTTTTTGAGGGTATTATCAGCCGGTTCATTCGGTTTCCTCTTTGGGAATAAGGTCCTAACACTATAATCATTTGTGTGAACATTCGAATGCCTCCCCTTCTCGGTAGCCGCCTTTCCAAAATTGTCACTTTTAATTTACCTGACTTGCGTTAAACGTGCGAGTGGGTAAGGCTATTAGTAGGAAACGACCAGGGTTGGCAAATCGTAAGAAAATCGCCCTCAACCAAGGCCAGTCACGTGCAACGTGACTGGTGGAAAAGTATCGGTGTTTGGTTGGGGGAGTGATTTTGTCGCACGCTCGCCCCCCTCCTCCACGCAGCGCTGACCTTGCCCCACTAAAACAGCACTTACTTTAACCCATGTACAGATATTTGACCTGTGCTGATGGTCTAAACCTGCGCTTGATTCGTTTTTTGCTGCTAAGGCCCACGAAGATCGTGGTGTTATTGCAACCGCAATATCATTTCCGTGCTTTCACTATGCTTGCTAGAAGTGAAAGCTTCACAGGGGGTCGTTGTTAAGTTTACCCGTAGCCCAAAGTACGCCCAGAGATGGAATGCGCAAATCGCCTGCCAAATGCAAAACCAACCTTCCAAGTGCAACACAGAGACAAGACCTCGCGCCGTCTCTGACGAACGGCCGCATTGCATGTCTAACGCGCACACTTACGCATGCTCCTATCAGACTGTTTTGAAATCGTTTTTTTCACAGCGTGCAAGTGATTTTCTAATGGAGGAAGAAAGTGAGAGCTTCAAGACGGCTCTCGAACTGAAATCTGAAGCAGCCGACCTGCATCACGAAACAATAGAACTGGAAGAAGAGGTATGGATTTGCATCTGGCGTAGGTTTGCCTCTTTCTTCACCACTTAGTCATGACGGTGGTCATAAGCATTAATGTGCATTGGGGTCTCCCTGAATTGTAAAATGTCTCTAAATCAGTAGACACGAAACAGAAA